CAAGGCAAGGTCGTGTTTGAAAGCAAATGAACCAGAAAAAGACTACCATAACACATTCAACAATATCCCTGTTTGAACTCCACTGTGCAAAAGATTTCATCTAAAACAATGAGTTGTTACTCTGTCACATAAATAAAACGGCAATTCATGTTTTACACATATATAGCACCCATCTAACTCTGCTTGTGTTCCCTAAGCACGTGCTTAGGAGACACTTCCCACAGCCAACTTGCTGCCAAAACACGTAACTGGAATTGAAGCCCCCTTTTTTCTAGTTTTTCAGCTCGTAAAGTAGTGACATAACGTCTAATGCCATGCTTCAAACCAAGATGGATTATTATTACGTCACACGATCGTGAGGCATTGGCGATGGCTTGGGGAGGTCTTCATCCAGCGGGGGATTGGTCATGGCTAAGAATGATTTTATCACCAAGTAAGTGACCCAGAAGTGCAGTAAATATGTAATGTAGTTGTATAGCTATACCATATTTCTTATAGTATATTTAAACTTTAAATCTGAATTTCAATAAGCTGGATTATAGAGAGAGAGAGAGAGAGAGAAAAAAAACACACTGCAATCACTGTACTGCACTAAATTTGTATGCAAATGTGTGTGACCTTGAATAAGAGGACACTCAGATGAGAAGGCCGTGCATCACAGTTTCACGTTGTCCACTGATATACACACGGTTTGTAGTTTGCGCCAACATTATATGATTCTTAGCTTTTCATCGATGTGTTGTGTGTTTTTTTCACTGCATACGTTTTCACGCTTGTGCCCTCCGATGTTGTTGTTCGTCACGGGTCTTTAGAAAACATCGTAAACCTCATTATCCGCAAGTTTATCGCAGATTAGCATAGATTAATTTAGTCACGAGTCATGAGCCCGCGATCTCCCCCCCCCCCGTATTACGCTAAAATGAATTGGCAGATTTTTATAGGGAAATGTCATGGCTATTTCCTTTTATAGAGTAGAACGCCTTCAGCCACGACCCCTATTACCCCAACTCCTTATTACCCTGGGCACCGCGGTGGCTAGATGTTAACTACCTCGCCTGGTACGCAGGAGGTCATGGGTTCGATCCTGACCCTGACGCCTGCTGTATATTTGGAGTTGGCGTGTCTCTCTCCCCGTGGTCGCGTGGATTTGTCTCTGGGTTCCTCCAGTTTTTTCCCTCTACATTTAGAATCAGCACGCGTTTAGAGTATTTGGCTGCTATAAATTTCCACGTGACAAGCCACTTCGTTGAGCGATTATTTGTGGCCAGGTCGTTTCTGAAAAAGAGCTACATAGCTCAGTAGGGCTTACCTGGTAAAATAAAAAATATTAGTATTAATTATCCACTAGAAATATATGGGGCTGGCCTTATTATTGCGGTTTTTCTGGTCCTGTGTTACGGAACATATTCCTAATTAACCACATTTTTTTCCACGCAAATAAGTGACGCGAATTTTGTTGTATATAACATCGCATATACCGCACACTCAAAATTATCCGCGGATTTTCCCCTCCCACCCCGTCCCACATCTACTGTACGAGTGTTAGGATTTTTTTTTGCTGAATGGAGAGAGGTTTCTGCATTTCAAGCCCACGACGGACTGTATGTAACTGTGCCTAAATGGCCCTGTAATGAGCTCAGTGGAGTTCGCAGTAATTGCACTTAAAATGGAAGGAACATTGGCATGGGCTTTCAAGCTGGCCTATCTTGTTCAAAACAGTCTTTTTTAAAAACAAGTCATGCAGACGCACACTATTTAGTTTGTGTCTCCGTGGCAAGACATTCGCCCTCTAACTTCGGCCAAGAATAGTGTCTTATTAATTTGCCCGAGCACAGTTTTTCTGGCCTCTACCCGAATAAAATCCCACACAGCAGGCAAGCTAGACATGTTTTTGTTAAAGACCACGTCAGCTTAAATCAAATGTGGTTTTGCTGGTTGGGTAACATGCCCTGCGTTTACTCGTTAATGTTAAGCCTCCCGCGCGCAAAGCGAGACTCATACCTTTTAATGATTAACTTTAACTTTGTGCACAACTCATAGTTGAGAAACTTGATCATTCCACAACAACAAAACCTCCAAATATCGCTGGTGTGTACAGTATTAGTGTAAAAGCATATCCTGCTTGCTTTGAGACCTCTTTGTGGTTCTCCAGAACTGGCTACACTCCACTTCTTCATGACGTGTGACATTTCATCTAAAAAAAACACATCGGCTTCTTGTGGTGCACGTGATTTCCACGTTGACAATACAGCACGCGATGAATTGTGCATCGCGTGTTTTAAGTTTTACCTATGTATTACATACATGGGGTGTGTACGTAATGAACTCCCATAATCTGCGTTGATATGGGAGGACCATATCGTAAATCCTGAAACCCGCGGCGCCCTGCTTCGGTTAAGATTTACAAAACAGCGAAAAAAAATTACGTTGGTGTGTAGTGTGCGAAAGAGTACACTGATACGCTGCAATGCAATAGGTAAAAGTGGGCGGTGGTTAAGCACACAGCAATGCACGATGACCCGAGTTCGATTCCAGGCCACGGGCGAATATTAGTTCAAGTACAAGGCCAGACTTTTTGTAATGGGTTGGCTGTCCATACATTGTACCCCACTGCATGCGAGCCGCCGACCACAAACTGTGTTGAACCCATTTACATCGCTGTTTGGGCAGAGAGGCAGTGGCAGAGGGGAGGAATTTGAGAGACTTGACCTTTGTTTGAGCTGCCACACTGGGCGATTGGATCGAACCGGTGACCCGCGAGTACACTGGAAGACCATGATGCAATGCAGAGTCAGTGTGCTGACTCTACATTGCACCATGGCACCATTTATATACAGTACGGAATAGGTTCAGTTGAAAACGTAACAATCGAGGAGTCAATGGGCATGCAACAGTTGGAAGAAGGGGAGGGGAGGGCAAAAAGCCATGTGACTTGATGCCCTTACCAAAACTTCATTGACTACTACACACACACACGCGCGCCTGTTGACGGCATTTCACCGAAGATTTACTCTGCTCATGCTCGTTACAGCTGTGTAAAAAAAAAATCTGTACGCACAGTGTGCTGGTGGTGATGGTGGGGGGGTGGCACGGGCGGATTGATTTCAAGGTGCAGCCAGATTGGCGGGTGGGCCCTTAACGGGGGGGGGGGGGGCTGTGGGTGTGTCGGGTGGAGGATTCGGGCTTCTCGCAACCAAATGTTTGCATTGGGCCACCATTTGTGAGTCCACAATTTGTTGTAGCGTTAGAAGAAGGAGGAAGAGGAGGAATCAGGTGAACCGCACACTGCGCACGAGGTCTAAAGGTTTGGGTTGCATACATCGGTTGTGCCAACAAGGTTGGGATTTGAAAACCAATAACCCACCACACCCCTTTCAAGTGGCACATGGCCAGCCCCCCCCTCCCCCTTTTCATGATCATAAAACCCAAGGGGGAGGGGAAACAAGGATGCCCAACACTTTGCCCAAGCACAGGAGGAACGCCCCGATGCGTCGTGTTATATGGGACATTCCGAGTGATGAACATCACGGGGATAATGGTGAATTCATATTGAAAGAAAAAAATCAACTTTTTTTATCATGTTCAAAGGTGGTGGTTTAATGTTGGTCTTACCCCTTAGAGCTGTCGCCTGGTACGCCGAAAAATATGGGCAGTGCCATCCACATGTTTATCAGCGATGTGTGCCGATCCGTCGGTTCACATTTATTCCTAAGCTCTGATGGTTTTGTATGTTTGTATATGTTGTATGGAATGGTGCATGTGACACCACCACCAGCCACTGCAAGCTGCTCCGTCACAGATACGTTTTTTAAAATGTTGATTCTTTTTTTGTCTCATTAAAAGCTTTACCATAAATTGTAACTATTCACGAACTTGCGAAGCAAGAGACTTATCACACCCCTCGTGGGGGACACTGTGCACCCCCATTATCCACCACAGATTAGGGAAGCAGTTACAACCCCCACCAATAACAATGATTGGATCGCAACTTATGGGATGTCGACTGATCAGTACAACGTACATGGATGATCTTAATGATATAATAATGGTGGAAGCAGATTGGTTTTTTTAAAGATGTAAAATCTTGCGTTGTCTCCTTCTGTGTGCTTTGCTGGGTTCGCTGTGCTGCACACGTGTGGCCACGACTTGCAATGTAACCACTGAAAAACGATCCGCTGGGAGTTTAAGTTTCCTTAAACTGTAGATGCCCACCTTCATTAAAATCATGTTTTGGTCCAAACCATTGGTTCTATTTAAAACTCACAAAATAAGGAAACTGTCACGGACACAAACGTTTAAGTCCTATGCACACATTCTGTCGCTTGCTACAAAAAACAAACGCAATTCTTCTGAACTAATCAACAAAAATAGAAAATTTTAAGTGATTAAGTATGGGAGTAAACGTACTGTAATGCTGAACATTACACAGCTAACCATTGAACAAATACGGCCACTGCATCGCGCGGCACTTCCAGATGCACTTCTGCGGCCGTCTGGAACGCTTTTCTTCCGATATTAGGAAGCCAATGGGAGCTAAGCATTTTTAATCATCTCGATTTTAAAACTCATTTCGTGAGAACTGTTTTTTGTGTTTGGTTTGTTGTCATTCCCGCACACCTCCGATTAACTGCGTACGGTGTGAAAGAAGTTCACATACATGCAAACTTCACTTCTCTGTGGTGACGTGGAGGACACCATCTAGGATCCTGTTACCACACATTAGGAAGGTGATCTTCAAAGTAGGATGGCAAAAGCCACAGATAAGCGTGGATAATAGGAACAATAGGACCACGGATAACAGGAGTGTTCACTCAACCTACAGCTATTCCCACTGATTATAGGAATCACAGGTAATAGGTTCGTGGAAATGTATGTTGAACTTCTTTCGGACCGTACGTAGCCAACCTTGCTAATCGGAGGTGACTGGGGTATTCTACTCTTGTATAACCTAATAAGTACAGTACTGCACTTGAAAAGACTCCATTGTTCTGCAAGGAAAAATGATACAGGTAAAGCATTGGAGGAAAGTCTGACAACACGCAGTGTAGCTTCTACTGCAGTTACTTAAAAGTACATTAAAACGCTACGAAAATCTTTACTTGGGTTGTTTTTTTTTGTCTTTCCTTCGCGCAGCGAATAAAAACTGCACACACACACGCACCGTGTTCGGAAAATGGAAAACAAGCTCCACGTGGACCCAGTCTCTTGGTCTTCCGTTTGCACATGAACAAAGAGGGCACTGCGGTCCCTTCCACTATGCACGCAGCCCCCTTCATAAAACGCCTTGTCCTGGGCACGTACAGCAAAGTGCCACTCCCGCAGGTCACTTGGTCGCTTTGTATGCACGTTGAACTTCTTCGCACCGTACGTA